TAAGCTCTTGAAGATCCAACATGTTCTAAGCTCTCTCCAACTTGCAGATCCACTTATCAAGCCTTTGGGAACTGCTGCCTTTCAAGAGTTACACATCAAGCTCGAAGTCATCGCTCTCACCCCTCCCTGAGCTTGTGGGGAGTACTATGAGGCTACCTTAGGCAACAAGTTGCATAGCTACACATATGCACTAATGTATGTCAATATGAATCATCATGCACATACATGCATAACTGTAACTAACTCTTGCACTATCTAACATGCATTATTTTCTATATATAGGTCATTATGAGTACATACATGCCTAACTATAACTAACTCTTGCAGTATCCAACATGCATTCTTTGCTCTATATAGGTCGTTATGGTTATATATATATATATATATATATATATATATATATATATATATATATATATATATATATATATATATATATATATATATATATATATATATATATATATATATATATATATATATATATATATATATATATATATATATATATATATATATATATATATATATATATATATATATATATATATATATATATATATATATATATATATATATATATATATATATATATATATATATATATATATATATATATATATATATATATATATATATATATATATATATATATATATATATATATATATATATATATATATATATATATATATATATATACACTACTACAAAAAAGTTTTTTAATAGCGCTTTTTTTGCTTTTTAATAGCGCTTTAAAGCGCTATTAATCAAGGCGCTATTGTAAAACAAAATTTTTAATAGCGCTTTAAAAGCGCTATTATAGTTCTGGTAATTAATAGCGCTTTTTCAAAAGCGCTATTATAGGACCTATCTTTAATAGTGCTTTTACGAAACCGCTATTATAAGTCACATATTTGATAGCGCTTTCAAAAAAAGCGCTATTATAGCACAGGTAATTTGCTTTAATTTTGATAGCGCTTTCAAACAAAGCGCTATTATAGTACACATATTTAATAGCGCTTTCAAACAAAGCGCTATTATAGTACACATATTTAATAGCGCTTTCCAATAAAGCGCTATTATAAGACACATATTTAATAGCACTTTCAAACAAAGCGCTATTATAATCCACATATTCGATAGCACTTCCAAACAAAGCGCTATTGAAATACCGGTAAATTACTTTAATTTTGATAGCACTTTCTAACAAAGCGCTATTATAGCACACTCTCTTCAAAACCCTATTCTAATACACTTTTTTTTTACACCAAATCATTATATATATATATATATATATATATATATATATATATATATATATATATATATATATATATATATATATATATATATATATATATATATATATATATATATATATATATATATATATATATATATATATATATATATATATATATATATATATATATATATATATATATATATATATATATATATATATATATATATATATATATATATATATATATATATATATATATATATATATATATATATATATATATGGCATTTGCATTTTACAACATTAAAATTCATAAAATAATTATAACTAATTAAGTAGCTAAAATACTTGAAATTAAAATAATAATGACAAATGTGATACCATTAATTTGGCTTAAGAGTACTTCAAACCAAAATATTTTATAAACACAACTAAAGTATTTTGTCATGTAGTTATTAATTTGGCTAAGAGTACTTCAAACCAAATTCTAAACAAAAAGTACAATCACTTAGCTAGGCATATTCTCTAAACTAATGAAAAAAAACATCTAAAAGAACAAGAAAATTAAGGACAACAAAAACAACATCAACTAGCTAGTAACCACTTTTCCAACCAAAACACTACTACATCCAAAGATACAACCAGTTTGCTAGCTAGCTAGGCAAAATCATTGCTTCTTGTTTTCCTGCATCATAGAAAGAATATTGATTATGTATATTGTACAATAATCAGAAAACAAAAACCTGAAAACAAAATATTAATATATAATTAAAAAAGAACATCATTTTACCTAACACTAGTCCATTAAAATGAGTTGAACATAAAAATCACGTACATTTAAAATGAGTTGAACATAAAAATCACGTACAACTAATGAACTTTTAATTTGTGAACACCTTAAGTGATCAAAATGGTACAACCAAATCAAACTTTTAATATGCAAGTAAGGTATTAATTGTATCTATATATTGTAGGCTTACCGAAAATATCATCCACCATATAGGTAGCCCAATCATCTTTGACCTCAGTTAACTTATCCTTAGAGTAGGTACGACACTTGTGGTCAGGAAAGTACTTCAAATATAAAAACATCAACAATTGTATTAGAACTAAGTTACATTAATTTACAAAGCTTTAACAATTAAAATCACGTACATTTATGGGGATCATAATTTCATTTTCCATGATGACCTCTTTCATAAATCGCATTACAAAATATCCACAGTCAATGCTATTAATTTGACGGGGACACTGCAAAAAAACATTTACATATATTACTTTTACTCTACATAATTGTTTTAAAATAATGTTAATTTAGACATACCCGAATTTTTGACCATGAAATTTTCTTTGACTTGGAGACTTTAGGCACTTTATAGTTACTATTAGCACGATAAATTTGCAATGCACTAACAAAATGAAATTAACTTCAAATGAGTAATTATTATAACTAAGAATACTTATATAAATGTTAAATTAAAAGAGTCTATACTTACTTCTCAAACTTGGTTTTTAAATTTTGATGTTTAGTTGGTTCACCATTCAACGGATCCATGTAATATATCACCTCAGCATCGAGATTGATGATAAGTAGTACCCAATGTTTCCTGCAACACATATAATATTGCAATACACTCAGAACTTGGATACTTCACCTTCCATTGCAATACATATAATATTGATGCATATAATATACTTATATAGTTTTTTCTCATAAATTTAATAACATTTTGAATAGAAAACTCACCCTAGATTGCAAGGTGCAAGAATTATCTTATCCTTGAAGTACTCCTCGTCTTTCAGAAGTATTTTTGTTATAGCATTTCCTAGATTATCCTCCCTTGATACATGTGGGGATATGAAGGAGAACTTATTTATTAATCCATTTGGACTAATAAACTTGTCATACAAATACCTAGAAATGAACAACAATAATTGGTATTAATATATTTGTCAACAATGTAAATATTAATATATTTGTCAGATTAGAGGAAATTTGTAATAATAGAGGTACCTGGAAAATACAGTGATAACAGAGGCACTTAACCAATTGTGATCAAGAATCTCTTTTATACTCTCTACACGTAGATGCTCTATAAACTCCTTACCAAATATAATTTTCTCCATTTTTATTTAAATTAACGATCCAACCCTCATCATCTTTTTCACATACATATCAAGGAAAGGTAAATTTACAAGATTGGTTGAACCGCCAACTCTAGGAGACTCTTCAATTTTGAATTTTATGTTGCTTTTGTTAGGTGATGAAACAGAATCAACACTTCGTTGGGTATTCTTAACTTTGTTTTGAGATTGATCAGGATTCTAAAAAGTTTTATTAATTAAGGTTAGTGATCAAATAATAAAACAAATAACAATCAAGCAAGTTAGTAATAAGTAATTTACCTTTTCACGTTCAGCAACAAATTCAAGAAGGTTCATTGGCCATGGCACAATTGTTCCTATTGCCTGACCAACCATCGATACATCACCATCTTCAACAGATATAGGCAATTGAGCATTTGGCACAATAGCAACTTCGATATTAACCTTGACATATCCAGGTGGTAACGTCATGCCGTGCACTGTGTTACCTTTGGTGTTATATAGTTTGCCACGAGCAACCAAACACCGACTCGGGGATGATAAATATATATTAACAGGAAGGAGACCCTGCAATGAGATACGAATAAAAACATTAATATCATTATTTACAAAACAAACATATATGAACTGCTTTGACTGTACCGACACTGACTGTACCGACACAAAGATCATTTTTCTATTGTCAAAAGATTTTCTTCTGAAATCATGGTTTTTCATATCCATCTTGGCCCATATGTTCTGATACCAATTAGATATATTGTAATTGCATTTATCTTCTTCTAGTAGATCCCATTTTAAGTAGTATAGCATGGTTATGTTAACATGTGCAGTGGAAGTGAGTGATGTTTGTGAGTATATCGAGTGCCATGTGAGTATGTGTGTTTAAGAGCATGTTTCACTTTTTGTTTTTCCTACGTAATAGACAACGATAACTTCAACCATATTCCCATCAACCTTCCACAATGCTGACAAACATAAGATACACTCTCTTCCATTATCCTCTCTCACGACACACTCTCTTCCATTATCCTCTCTCACGACACACTGTAGAAACAAAAAAAACAGCTCCATTACACTTTCCTTTCCACACAAAAACCAATGTGAACTTCCATCATTATGGCCACAATCCAACCTCTCAATCAAGCTTCATCACATGCCATCCTCAATACATACAACAAATCCGCTATCTCCCTCCGTCATTAACAGCAACAACACGCGTATTGGACGTCCCCACGGAGGAGATAATCACCACCATATCAGATATGCTAATGTCGTTAGACGTGATGCTTGTCCTGGACAGAAAGTTGGGCTTATTGCTGAACTGGGGAACTTAGATGGAAGGATGCCGCTACCGTTTCCAAGGCTGACTGATAATTTGAGGGTTTTGTTTCAGTGTTAGATTTTGGAATTTTGTTAGTTTTCCTGTTTGTTCAAAATTGGTTGGTTGGGTTATTTGTTCAAAATAGCTATGAATAAAAACAGAGACCCTAAACCAATGAGATACGAATAAAAACATTAATATCATTATTTACAAAACAAACATATATGAACTGCTTTGAATTACCTCGGGAATATTACCGAATGATCCAGGGTTGCAAGAACCTTTATCACTTAACTCTTGCCTCTGTGTCCCTTTTTCAGGCTGTTACAAGCTCTTTGAAACTTGTTCAGGTTGTTGCCTCTCTGCCACATCTTCAAGTTGTTGCAAGCCCTGTGCCCCTTTTTCAGGTTGTTGCAAGCTGTTTGACACTTGTTCAGGTTGTTCTTTCTCGGCCACTTCTTCGGTTTTTCGCCTCTCTATCTTCTCTTTATCCAACTTATCTCTCTCCATCTTCTCTCTCTCTAGCACCTCCAATCTACTTTTGAGTGTGTTGCAAAAGCCATACAATCTTTGAAAGTCCATTTGTGTGGGGCGAATTTGGCGTGGAAATATGTCCCTAGAACATACCCCAAAACCGTAACTCCTAATACGCCCATAGTAGTTTGGGAGATTTAGAGCCTCGAATAATATGTCCGTAGGACCAAGGTCTTGTCTCTCTTCTTCAGTTATAGCTTCTGTTAACTTCTCCTGACATCGATAAGTATAAAAAACTTGTTAAAGGAAAATCAATTTGAACACTTTCATTAAAATTAACCGAGATCCAAAATAGTTTCAATGATCCAAAATATTAACATTCGCCTTACACATTGATCCACAACTCTTTGAACATTCTCATTATCAATCACCCCATTCTTATTGACGCGGGCAGCCTTCCACACTTGACTGCGATTTATCTCATCTTCTCCCGACTCTTCTACCTGTATATACATTTTGACAAATTAACATAGCAATTAAAAAAATAATTTATAATCTTGTACACTACTTTTATACACATACTTACCATATCAGCTTCAAGACGAGCACACCCTAAACATGACTTTCTATAGGGATGTTGAGGATTTAATGCTCTTTCTCGATTTTCACTACTAACTTTCTGCATTAAAAGCACTATAATTACTATCATTTAAATTTACTTAAAATTACTTAAATTCAAATTTAAAAATTCTGTTATGCTAACTTATAAAAATTAAATAAATAAACAATTAAATCCTACTCAACAGAATTAATTCTAGTCAACAACAGAATTAGAGGTCTTCCTCTTTTGATATTGCTTTCCCACAATTGCATCCATATCACATTATTGCATTATTTATCAAATGTAATGTCACTGCATCATTGATGTAGTACATACAAGTGGCCAGTGTAGCCAGGGGTAGCAGCGGCCCAATTACACTTTTTGTTGAAATACTGAATAAGTTAGTCACCCTCAGCTATTAACTGTTTGGTGTACTATTTTCATGGCTTTTTTTACTGACGGATAGTTATGTTCCAAGTACATATACTATTTTGAGAAAGGAAATCCACAGATAACTAGTGCTACTATTCAGAGGCTTATAGAATTAATCAAGACTGAGATGCAGAGCGACTCTGCATCGGTTCTTCCAGGTTCAGATGCTTTCTTTGCTAGCACACTAAGGTACATTCAATTTCAAAAACAGAAGGGCGGTATATTGGGTGAAAAGTATGATTCTATCAAGGTCTAAATCACACTACTTCGTGGTGAACTAACTTATTTTAGATGATGCTCAAATGTATAATTATGCGGAATACCAATCATGTATTTAATTGGTGTTCATCTTCAACCCAACAACAAAATAAGGTTAACAAAATGAGGCATATATGAAATATTTTACAAGGTATCTAATTCAGTTTGTCCCTCTAGTATACGTTACGGACGGTACGGTATCGGAGGCTATTACATAGGCATAAGAGGAGAGATAAATAATGACAAGTTATTACCTGAAATTTTTCATTCTGACGCTGAGCTACAAATTTATCCCAATCCTCTTGTTTTATACAGTAAGAATATTTTGCCGGTCGATGTTTAACAAAATCACCCTTACTATCTCTTAGATAGAACTTTGCCAACTTTGTCTTGAATGCCTTGTGCAACCTTCCAGCTTCTTTATATATATATGCATGATGTTCTTCGCCAATTACAAAAGCTTTCTGCAAACAACTCAATTTATTAAAACACTGTTCAGGTTACTTAAACATCCAAATAGATAAATTATGGAATTAAAATTTTACAACAAGCTTGAGTTAGTGTGTTACTTCAATTTCATCCCAAATGTTTTGTTTATAAACCCCTACAGCCTCTTTATTTTCTTTCGCACTCCAATTGTCCAAACTAATTGGAACTAACCGACGAACCGTGACACCAATATAACTAGCAAAACTCTTGCTATTATGCTTGATTGGTTGACCTCTTTCATTCCATTGAACCTATAACAAAATTATAGTGCAATTAAATAATCATCAATCTCACTAATATTCTAAGACAATCAGAGGTCTCATCAATCTCAATAATCATCATCTAGCTATTTTACCTCAATCCTCTTTCCATTGCTTTTGGCTTTGTGAATTTTTTGCAACCGAGTCACACCACGTTTACCAACTATTTTCGTACTAGACGGACCACCTTCATCGTTAGTAGAAACCATATTTAACCTGTAAAAAGTGTAAGAGTTAGTATTATATTTGTGGTTGCGGTTACAAATGCAAATTCGGACAAACATAAAACACAATTAAAGACAATTTTATACAGTAAGAGCTAGTATTATATCATTCTTAAACAACATTTTTATTCACTCACATTAAAGACAATTTTCAAGTGATTCCACAAATTTTCAAGTCGGCCTTTTCCTCTTCCTTGTAATTGGATTCCTACTTTTGTGTTTTCTTGATACAACAAATGATGGGTTGATCCAAATCCCATCATTGTGATCGTTTCTCATATAAAGAATATCATCTACAATTAGTTCATCCTCAAGGGATTGTGATGTATTAAAGAAAGGATCATCCTCAACATCTATACTTTGAGTTTTTTGATCATTTATTTTGTTACTTAGAAACACAATAGACCATTTTTCATCGGCAGGATCAGTGACATAGAATACTTGGTGAGCTTGTGATGCCAAAATAAAAGGCTCGTCTTTATACCCCACTTTATTAAGACCGACCTTCATGAACCCAAGGTCAACTTGAAGGCCATTGTTGTTGTCAACCCACTTGCAACCAAACACAGGCACTTGAAAGCATGAGTAATCCAACTCCCAAATACGTTCAATGACCCCAAAATATGACAATTTGGAAAATGCGGGATTTCTATCTTTGGAACTTGAGATATGCACAGATTCAGCTACGAGTGTGACACCGCTATTTTGCATAGTGCTTTGATGATCATGTTCTTTCGTATAAAATGTATACTTATTAATTATATAACCAGAGTACGAGAGAACATGTGAATTTGGACCATTTGCTAGCCATCTCAATCTTTCGGAAATTGAAGCAGGATTTTTGGCAAATTCTGAAAAAATGTGTTCTTTTAGCCACGATATAAAACTTTTATTGTGCTCTCTTGTTAACCAATTTTCACTCCTGTTAGGATTCAAACTTTGAAGGGTTTCCTTGTGCTTTTCAACATATGGCTCAACCTCATCCACATTGTGTAGTACATACAAGTGTGCTTGCTCCAATTCGATGTCTGACATGGTGACTAGTTTACTTGCACCAATCCCTTCCCCTATTGTTTTTCCAGAGTGTCGTGACATTGGAAGCCCTATGGACTCAACATTAGAGAGGTATTCATTACAAAACTCAATAGCTTCTTCAACTAAATATCGTTCAACAATGCAACCCTCTGGTCGACTTCGATTCTTCACGTACCCTTTTATTATCTTCATGTAACGCTCAATCGGGTACATCTACCTCATATAAGCTGGTCCACAATATTGTATTTCCATGATAAGATGGATGGTGAGATGAACCATTATGTCAAAAAATGAAGGTGGAAAATACATCTCAAGCTCACATAATGTGACAACAATTTCCTTTTGTAATGTCGGCAACTTCTCAGGGTCAATAACTTTGCTACAAATAGCTTTGAAGAAAAAACAAAGTTTAGTTATTGTCCATCGCACATTTTCTGGTAAAATGGAACGTATAGCTACCGGAAGAAAGTTCTCCATTAAAACATGACAATCATGAGACTTTAAACCATTCAATTTGAGATCTTTCAAAGATACCAAACTCTTAATGTTTGATGAGTAGCCCTATGGAACTTTAACATTATGAAGAACCTTACACAAGATCTTTTTCTCTTTTCTTGACAGAGTATGAGCTGCTGGAGGTAGAAATGTACGCTTACCCTCCCTCTTAACCGGCCCCAATTCATTTCTTAATCCCATACTTTGCAGGTCTAACCTTGCCTTAAGGCCATCCTTAGACTTTCCTGGAAGATTGAGTAATGTACCAACGACACTTTCAAAAACATTTTTTTCAATATGCATCACATCCAGGAAATGTCTAACATACAACGACTTCCAATACGGCAATTCAAAGAAAATTGACTTTTTTTTGCATCCCCCCGTGGCAAGTTCACTTGAAAAAGGCTTCCCAAAATTAGTGCTCAAAAGCTTTACCTTTTGGTATAATTGATCGCCCGTCAAAGGCACGGGAGCTCTTTTTTCTTCATATTCACCATTAAATGCTTTTCCCCATTTTCGAAAACGATGGTTGGTATTTAAGAATCTACGGTGTCCAAGAAATACATTTTTCATACAATGATCCAACCGTATTGAATGTGTATTATCTTCACATACGGGGCATGCAAGTTTTCCTTTGACACTATAGCCTGATAGATTCCCATATGCAGGAAAATCATTGATTGTTCCAAATAACATAGCCCTCAATTGAAAGGATTCCTTTTTATAATCATCATATACCTCTACACCTGCCTCCCACATATGCTTTAAATCTTCAATTAATGGAGCCAACTATATGTCTATATAATTTCCTGGTTGCTTGGGCCCAGAAATTAACATAGTCAACATCATGTACTTGCGCTTCATGCATAGCCATGGAGGTAAGTTATAAATCAACAAAATCACCGGCCAAGAAGTAAGTTTACTACTCTGAATACCATGAGGGTTTATTCCGTCAGTAGACAATGCGAGACGTAGGTTTCTTTCTTCCTGCCCAAAATTTGGGTAATCATGATCAATTTTTGCCCATTGAGGAGAATCTGCAGGATGTCGGAGCATTCCATCAACAACCCTTTCTTTTGCATACCATGTGTCGCTACTGCGAAAATCGGCGCCGGCTGAACAGAAGAGTCGCCACCGTGCGTTATTTATCCCCAAGGAGGGAAAGGAAACGCTCGAGGTAAACCTAACGCAAAACGGGGAAAGGAATGGTCATCGCAACCAAATCCTGGATTCGGGAGTCGGTTACGCAAGGGGAAGGTATTAGCACCCCTCACGTCCGTCGTACTCGACGGGATCCACGCTTGTTTTCGGGTACGGATTGTTATTTCTATCTACACTAAAGGTCAGGGTTAAAAAGAAAAGAAAATGACTCGGCAAAGTATCACACTTTATGCCTACGTATTCCCGTCTGGAACGAGAAATCAGAGTCAACATAGTTCGCCTACCTACAGGAAAGGAGGGGAAGGTTGCTCGCTAGGATATCGCATCCTATGCCTACGTACTTTCATACAGCATGAAAGATCAGAGCAAACGCAGTTCGGGCCATGTATGACACAAGTCTGTCTTGATTGTTTTTATTCCTTCTGAAAAAGGGTTTTTCTGATTAACAGCCCAAGCGGACAAAATGACGTCTTGATGAGTTCACATTCTTTTACGGAAGAAGTGTCTTTTATTGTGTTTGAAATGTTATTGTGTTTTTCTGGTTGTTTTGAGAAAGAAGAGACAGAACTCTAACCTACGGTTGCGAAGGGAATCAAACTAACCTAATGTTATCATGCATGGGTTAAGACCTAGTGTCTATCATGCTCCTCTCTTGCGCAGAGAGAAACATAGATCCTAAGGGATAAACGGAAACAGAAACAATAGCATATATATAATAAAGCAGTAAAATGCATGGATGCAACAATACAAGCGAGGCAAGGGAGTCCCACTCAACCTCGAACCTAGAAAACAATAGGCAAAAGTGAACAGGATTCACTTTCAACCCAACAGGTTAAACAGCAAGCAATACAGTCAGGGAAAACCAATCAATACATTAAGAAACATAAACAGCAAAAATAAACAGCATCAGCAGCTCTGATCAACATCTGACTTCAAGTCATCTCCAAGCAGCTACAAGCTTCAAGCAAGCCTCAATCTCCATCCCCACAACCTTCAAGCAAGGTCTCTGTCATCAGTCTTCCATCTGCAATGGCTTTTCTTCAAGTCTCAATCTCCTGGATGAATATCAGTCAACAAGATGAAATGAATGTTAAACAGTAAACTGCCTACCAAGGGTGGCTCATTAACTGTTAACATTATACAGACATTTTTCTCTCAAAAGTTCTATCTTTCAAATACAGTCACTGATCCTTCCAAAGGAAGGAGGTGGATATTTGAAAGAGACTTTGAATCATAGAGAAAGGATGGAGGCAGACAAGGCCTTCCATGTTTGTGAATCAAGCTTTCTACTCTAGGGCTCTGCTTAGCTCCTAAATCCTATACTCCTCAATAGCTGCCAGCAAAGGATGCTCCTCATCAACGCTGGAAGTTGGTCTTCAATCTCTTGGATCTCCAATGGACTTCATCATCACAAGCTTCAGCTCTCCCAATCCCCAAGCAAACCCAATACCCCACACAGACAAATGAAAATAACCCTAGAGAGGGCACACCACACAGTCAAACAAATATGAGCAGTACTAATAGCAGTAGGGGAATCCTAATATTTTCTAAGGGATCTATTAACTACCCATAATCCCTATAGTCCCATACCCCAAAGATTCAATCTACAACTCCTAAGGGAAATGATTTAATTCTCCTATGTTATCTCCTAAACCCTAGTTTTGATCACACTAATCACACCTAAACAAAACACCTAAAAATTAATCCTAAAATCATGAATTAAATCTTATATACAAGCTAACATTCTATACTAATCAACCTAAAAAGAATGGATCAAAAATATAAAAGCATTTAATCAAACTAAAATCACCAAATTCATGCATCAAACTAAGCATTATTTAAACTTATATAATAGAAAAATATGCTAAAAATATAAAAATAAAATGAAATTGGAATTTTTTTATGTGATAATTTTCTTGATAGAATTATGAACAATATGCAAAAAGAACCAATTAAAATCATGCTTTTTTCTATTACTTATGATTTTTCCAAGAATTAAGAAAAATGGAAGAAATAAAATGTGAATTAAATGGAAAGGGGTGCAGAAATTAATGAAAATCAGTTAAAATAAGAGATGGGCCCAGACTGGGGGGCGCGCATAGCAGGCGCGTCTGGGCCCAATGCATTCAGAAAGTATAACAAAAATTAAAAAAACTGGAAACGGTGCGAAAAGCAATAAAATCAGTTCAACTTGGTTGGGCCTTGGTTGATGGGGGTGGCATTAGCAAGTAATCCTGAGGCCCAGCTAAGAACATTAATGAAACGGTGCGTAGCACCCTTAGAATTTCCCTCCG